GAAGTAGTTTGTCACTCCTTCTTCCTAGCCTGTCTTCATCTGGAAGCTCATCTGACACCTGTCCACTGTGGATGACTCTTCTGGTATTTAAAATACCCATGGCACAGCTTCCAGAATTATAGCAACTCACAGGCTACCACAGTAAGACAAACTGATATATATATATATATATATATATATGAAAGGGGAATTCCAATTTACTGTGATGAGACAGGTATATAGAAGGTGAGAGCTGTAAAGAGGAAACTCTAGAAAATATTCTCTGAGAAACTCTAGAAAATATTCTCTGAGAATAATCCAAATTGTACCCAATGTGAGAAGCTCACATAACAATCAAATGTTCTTGAATTCCTCCTGCAATGATCTGTTAAGAGTTAATTTCAAACCCACTTTTAAGCTTTATATGGTTTCTTCCAAGCCCTTCTTTTGTTCTTTCCAAATAGTACACAATACTTCCAAGCTTGGGAATGAGCCACCTACTTCTTGAAAAAGTAGGTCTGCCTTCTTTTGCCCCAGGGTGAGACCGCTCTTTCCATAACTGGTTCATTGATCTGTCCTGGAACCCTGACTTCAGCCATCCTCTGATAGACCCTTCTATACGATCAAGGTTCCCCCAAAACCCCTCTTTACAGCTCTCACCTTCTATATACCTGTCTCATCACAGTAAATTGGAACTCCCCTTTCCCATAGATGCTACATGGTGTTCTTGAGGAAGCATTTGGTGTTTCTTAATAGTCTTTGTGTCCCCAAGACCTACCACAGTGCTTGGTGCTCAGTAGGGCTTATGTAGTATTTGTTACTAAATTGATTACTAGCTAAAAATGTGAATGGATTTCACAATGCTAAGACTGATAGAAAAGTAAATATTCAGTGATCCTAAAGGATAGGAAATAATAGTTGGGGCTGGAAGTTGTCAAGAAACTATTAAATAGAACTTTCCAATAGGAATGGATTGGCAAGAGGTATGAGTTTAATGAAGAAGGGAAACAAACAGAAAAAACTAGGTGATTGAGCATACCTGATTAATGATACCATGTTAGAAAAATCCCTTCTTTCAGCCTAATTTGGAAATACTGTTCTGTGCCCCTACTACACTCTTTTTGCCCTTGGCAGGGGCCTCTGGAAGAAATGGTGATGGTCCTGGGCCCCCTGTTGTTGGTCTTTATGCTGGGTCTGGGTATGACCCCACCAGCCCTGGCACAAGATAACTTCAGGTACAAAGATTTCCTGACCAAGCACTATGATGCCAAACCAGGGGGCCGGAATGACAGATATTGTGACAGCATGATGAAGAGACGAGGCCTGACAGCACCTTGCAAGGACACCAACACCTTCATTCATGGCAACAAGGGCAACATCAAGGCCATCTGTGGAAATAACGGAATCCCTTATGGAACGCATTTCAGACTAAGCAAATCTTCTTTCCAGATCACCACTTGCAAGCATGTAGGAAGCTCCCCCCGACCACCATGCCGGTACAGAGCCTCACAAGGGTTCAGAGGCATTGTTATTGCCTGCGAAAATGGCTTACCTGTCCATTTTGATGAGTCCTTTATCCATCTACAACCAACAGGCTACTAGCCCAGAGCTGGGACTGCCATTCTTCCCTGGCATTTCCCCTCCATGCCCTTGAATGGTGGTGGCAGCATTTATTTCCAGAGGTCCAGAAATGAGCTACCTGGATCTGTTTTCTGTTTTACAATTTACTAAATAAAAATGTCTCTGAAATCAGTAAGAATCAAAGTCTTTCTCACTGATCATAGTTATTGACTTTTCCTCATGTTATCTATTCGGCTCCTCCCTAAGAGGATTGGATGAACTAGAAATGCCTTTCCCCTAATTGGTCCATTCTAAGTATAGTAGGGAGGCAGGCTTTACCTTTTGTGAAGGTAATGATAATAAATTGATATTGCAGAGAAAGCGGGAAAAATCCCAAAAGCTCATGACCCCTGAGAAGAATTTTCAGATGATGCAAATGTATTTTGCTGTCAAACAATAAGTTAATATTACTTTTCTAAATGTGAGACCTTGAGGAATAACAGGTAAATTACAATTTCTCTCTTTCCTTCTCTCCCCTCTGCTCCCATCACACACACAGGTCCTGCAAGGATAACAGAAGTCATTCAGGGTAGCCACCTCCTGTCTTAAGCAGAAGGTACTTCTGATATTGATTTGAAAAGAATGCTCCTAGGATATGCTCTTATTTTATAGAAACTTTAAATTTTTTACTACATTATTTTCTTTTTACTCTTTTACTTCATCAACTGATGTCTGGCTGCTGTGAGGTCTTAGAAAGTTTCTGAACTTAACTCGTCTTTTTCTTTCATCAGATGTTTTCAAGTAAACATAAACTTAGGTTAGCAAACACTACCTCTATAAAATGCACAGATTGATCCACATATTCAATGGTTCTCTTCCTTCTACCTAATTGCTTTCAATGTTTTTATTGTTGTTAAGTGCCTTTGAGTCCGTTTTGGCTCATAAGGACCTTGTATAGGGTTTCCAAAGAGCAGCTGATCGGTTTGAAGTGCTAACCATGTGGTTCACAGTCCAGTGCTTATACTACAATGCCACAGCAGAAGTTCTAATTTTTGTCAATGGCTTCCTGGATAATTTTAGAAAGTGTTGTTGTTGAGTCAGCTCCAACTCATGACAACCCCATATACAACAGAAAGAAACATTGCCTCGTCTGTAACATCTTCCAGAACTACATCGGGCAATGTTTTGTTGTGTCCTGGTGTGGCACTGTGGGTTAATGCGCCAGACTGCAAAGCCATTTGAACTGCAAGGTCAGTGGTTCAAGCTCACCAGCTGCTCCTCAGAGACCCTATACAGTGTCACTATGGGTCAGAACCGACTTGACGGCACTTCACAACAATCACAAATAGGGCTTTCATTAGCTAATTTTCAGAAGTAGGTCACCAGGCCTGTCTTAGTCTGGAAATTCTTCTGAAACATTTCCAATATGGCTGACCCTACTGGTATTTGAAATACCAGTGGCAGAACTTCAGCATTCTAGCAACATTCAAGCCATGACAATGCAACAAACTGACAAATGGGTGTTTGTATTTACAAAGTAATTATTAATAAATTATAGTTATAGTAAGGAGCCCTGGTTGTGTAGTGGATTACAAGCTGGGCTGTTAACTACCAGTCAGCAGTTCAAATGTACCAGTTGCTCTTTGGGAGAAAAGATGAAGTTTTCTGCTCCCATAAATATTTACATCTTCAGAAACCCTATATGGAGTTCTGTTGTGGATCAACACTGGACTGCTAACCACAAGGTGGGTGGTTCGAACCCACCAGCTGCTCCTTGGAAACCCTATACAGGGTCACTATGAGTCAGAATTGACTCAACAGCACTTAACAACAAGAAACCCTATACAGGGTTGCTATGAGTTGGAACCATCTCGGCGGGACACAACCATCACCACAGCTTCAGTTACAGTCACAAGTTAAGCTGTGCTGTGAATTTATGATGATAGTGGCCACAGTATTGCCTATGGTGGTCTCTCTTGCTGTTTGCATTGGCCTGAAATGGGCCAAAGTCCAGATTATCCAATGTCCATTGCCATCTGGGAGATCCCTGCCTCACTGAAAGAAGTGGCTGGCACACCCTTACTGCACTGCCATTTTTAAGAAAGGAGGGGAAATGTTTTCCAAATCTTTAATTAGAAAATGTGTATTGTCATAAAAATTTTAAACCTCTCAGAAAGTGAGAACATCCAGATTTTGGCAGAAAATTTGTACCCTTTTCTCAAATTTTCTAACCAATACTAACTTCCTGAGGAGAGATAAAGTGACTCCACTTGAGGTGTTGATGGGGAAAGTCCAAGGTATGGATCATTGCTATGGATTGTATTGTGGTAAGTCATAACCCTATCTATACATGTGTATGTAAAGCCATTTGATAATAGAACTTTCTTTATTATGTCAATGAGACCATACCACTTTTGAGATATAACAGAAGCAGATTAGGCACAGGAGCAAGGAAGAACAAATGGGAAGAGTGATGTTACATAGATATCGCCAAGGAACACTAGGAGAACACTAGAGAAGCTGACACAAGGGTTTCCCTCAGAAGGAACAGAGAGAGCTTTCCCCTAGAGCTATTGCCCTGAATTTGGGATTCTAGCTTCCTTACTGTAAGAAAATAAATTTTTGTTATTTACAGACACCCATTGGTGGCATTTCTGTTATAACAACACCCAGAAACAAAGACAACCATTATTGTACTGATTGCATCCTAGCTGTGAAAATTGTTTGATAATTTTCACAATGTTGGGTCACCTTTTTCTCTGGAATGGATACAAATATGGATTCCTGCTACTCAGTTAAAAGAGACCTGGTGGCATAGTGTGTTAAGCATTGGGCTGCTAACCTCAAGGTTAGCAGTTCAAACCTACCAACCTCTTTGAGGAAGAAAGAGAAGGTGTTCGCTCCTTTAAAGTTCTGCTCTGTCCTACAGAGTAGAATGTCTAACTTTTTGAGTTAGAATTGAGTCAATGGCAATGAGCTTGATTTTGAATTTGGTTAGCTATCAGTTGGCCAGGTTTCTTTGCATAGACAAGTGAGTGCTTTTAATGCTGCATCAGTTTTTTGAAACATTTCAGTTGGTATTCTGTCAATTCCTGCAGTCATAGAATTCTTCAGTATTTCAATTTGAGGCATGAATTAATTTTTTCTTCAGTTCTTTTACCTTGAGAAATGCCGAGTGTGTTCTTCCCTTTTGATTTTCTAACTGTAGGTCTTTGCACATTTAATTATAATACTGTATTTCTCAATCCACCCTTTGAAATCATCTGTTCAGCCCTTTACTTAGTCATTCCTTACATTAACTTTAGTTATTCCACATTCAAGAGTTTGGGTCTTTTTTCTTTCTCTTTCTTTCTTTTCTTCTTTCTCTCTCTCTCTCACTCTCTCTCTCACTCTCTCTCTCTCTCTTTCTTTCTTTCTTTTGTTTCTGTCTTTTTAATAACCTTATGCTTTCTTCATGTATGATGTCCTTAATGTCATCCCACAATTTGTCTGGTGTTTGGTCATTAATGTTCAAAGCATCAAGTCTATTCTTGAGATGTTCTCTAGATTCAGGTGAGATATACTCAAGATCAAACTTTGGATCTCATGGACTTGTTTTAATTTTCATCAGCTTCTACTTGAACTTGCATATGAGTAATTGATGGTCTGTTTCACAGTCGTCCCTGGTCTTGTTTTGACTAATGATATTCAGTTTCTCAATTGTCTCTTTCCATAAATGTAATCAATTTGATTCCTGTGTATTCTCTCTGTAGAGTTCCATGTGTATTGTTGTTGTTGTTAGGTGTCATCAAGTCTGTACTGATTCATAACAACCTTATGCACAGCAGAACGAAACACTGCCTGAACCTGGGCCAACCTCACTACTGTTGTCACGCTTGAGTCCATCG